AGACTATTACAGACACTTCTCATGTTTTAGGTCAATCTTTAAACTCCTCAGATTAATATTCACATCCTTCTGGAATCTGATTCCTTCCTACCCACCCACATCCCACTTTTCCCCTGTACAAATTGTGGGTTCCTGTCAAATGGCCTACTTATTGTTCCCTAGATAGAAGTTGTGCCTTCCTGGAGGTTTGGGAAGTGATAGGTTGGACAAAGGGCATAAAGAAATTCATGATTTGTAAAAATGGATATGCTAATAATAATAAAAAAATTTTTTTAAAAGAAAGAAATTGTGCCTTCCTGCCACCTTCTTCAGGACATTGCCGGTGCTGAGGAAGCCTCCTCCACCTTTATAAAAACTCTTCAAGGCACAGTAATGTCTCACTGCCCATAAGAAACCACTAAGTTTAGTAATTCTCCTGTTTAATTTCAGAACTACCAAAGATCTGACATTTACCTGGGATGAATCCTGAAAGCTTCTCCAATCCCCACATTCTGGGATAATTCCAAACATAAATCAACTTCATGAGAATTTGACAATAAGGAAATTAAAAGGAGATGGTAAGATGTATATACTCGACAACTAGCTACACTAATTAAGTGATTTGTTCTCAAAACTTGGTCTCCAACAGAAATGGAGAGAACACTTGGGGCCTATTTTTATTATACAAGCATAACCTTGATTCCAAATCCTGACAACAACTTCATAAGAAAGGGAAACTTACAGACTAATCTCTCTCATAAACCTAGATGCAAACATTCTAAGCAAAATCCAGAGATCTATTTAAAAAAAATAATAATACATTTCAACCAACTGGGGTTTATTCGAAATGCATGTTTGGTTTAAGATTTAAAAATTGACTAACATGATTAAAAGTCACTAACATGACTAAACAGAAAAAATATATAAAAAATAAGGAGATCATCTCAATAGATGTAGAGACATTATTTAAGAAAATTTAACATATTCATTATTTGTAATGCTTTTTAAAACTTAGCAAACTAGAAACTAAAGGCAAATCCCTTAATCTGATCTTTTAAAATCCCAAAAACCTACAGAAATTTCATACTTATTGGTGAAATATTGAAAGCTTCTCCCAAGGTATTAGAAATGAGACAATGATGTTGATTATTATTACTTCTATTCAACATTATACTGGAGGTCCTTACCCAGTGCATTAAAGCATAAGAGAAATAAAACCATAAAAAAATAAGAAAATAAAAAGCATAAAAAGCAAAAAATATTACACTATCACTATTTGCAGAAAACATGAGATTGTGTACGTAGAAAATCTAAAAGAATCTACAAACTTAGAATCAATAAATTAAAGTAGCAAGATTGCTGAATACAAAATCAATGTTAAAAAATCAATTGCAGGGCCGGCCCGGTGGCGCACTGCTACAGTGCGCCGCTTGGGAAGCACGGCGGCGCTCCCGCCGAGGGTTCAGATCCCACATACAGACCGGTTCCAGCTCACTGGCTGAGCGAGGCGCGGGAGCAACACCGAGGGTTGCGATCCCATTGCTGGTCCCGGTCCGGTACGGGGGCGACACTGAGGGTTGTGATCTGTTGCCGGACACGGAAAAAGACAAAAAGGAAAAAAAAAAATCAATTGCATATCCATATACCAGTAACAAACAGAAAACAAAAAACAAAAAGTCATTTACATCAGCATAAACAAACATCAAATACCTAAGAATAAATTTAACAAAATACATGCAAGATATCTACACAGAAAACTACAAAACCTTACTGAAAATTTTTTTAAAAATCCAAATAAATGGAGGCATCTATCATATTCATGGATCAGAATGCTTGGTCTTGTAAAGATGTGAATGTTTACTCAACTGACCTATAAATTTAATGCAATTCCAATCTCAATCTCAGCAGTTTCTTTCCCCCCAGAAGTTGACAAGGTGATCTAAAATTCGTACAGAAATTAAAGGGCAAAAAATAGCCTATGCAATTTTGAAGAAAAAGAAGAGGCTGAAGGATTTACACTACTAGATATTGTAGCCTTTTTTTTTAACACATTAGTACTTAAGACTTAAGTATTGGCACAAGGATAAACAAACTGACCCAAGGAAATGAATAAATAGTCCAGAAATAACCCACACATATCCGTCACCTGATTTATGACAAAGACGATATTGAAGAGCAGTGAGGAAAGGATGTTATTTTTAGTAAATGATGCTGGATGAATTGACTATCCACATAAGAAAAAAAAGTCTATCTTGATTTCTTCTTCATACCATACAGAAAATCAATTTCATACAGACTGCAGATTTAAATGTGAAAGGTAAAACAAGACTTTCAGAGGAAAACATCATCGTGACCTTAGAATAGGAAAAGATTCCCAAACAGGACACAAAAAACCCTGTTAACATTGTGACCTTAAAATAGGCAAAGATTCCCAAACAGGACACAAAAAACCCTGTTAAGGGAAAAAAATGATAAATTGAACTACATTAAAATTATAAACTTCTATTCATTAAAAGATAACATTAAGGGGCTGGCCCGGTGGCGCACGGGATAAGTGCGCTGCTTGGGAAGCGCGGTGGCGCTCCCGCCCGAGGGTTCGGATCCCACATACAGACCGGTTCCCGCTCACTGGCTGAGCAAGGCACGGGGGCAACACCGAGGGTTGCAATCCCGTTGCTGGTCCCCGGTCCGGTACGGGGGCAACACTGAGGGTTGCGATCCGTTGCCGGACACGGAAAAAGACAAAAGACAAAAAAAAAAAAAAAAAAAAAAAAAAAAAGATAACATTAAGAGTGTTAAAAGTCATCTCATAAAAGTGGGAGAAAATATTTGCAAAATACGAGGGTACTTCAATAAGTTTGTGGAAAAATAGAATTGAAAGATATTACAAATATTTCCATGAACTTTTTGAAGTACTCTTGGATATATCTAACCAAAGACTGGTATCAAAATAAAAAACTTCTACAAATCAGCGAGAAAAAGTCAGACAGCTGAAGCTCTCATACACTGCTGGTGGGAATGTAAATTAATACAACCACTTTGAAAAACTGATGGGCAGTATCTACCATGAACCAGCAACTCTATTCCTATGTATATACCCAATAGAGATGAGTTCTGTTTTTCTTTGTTTTTAATCTGGATTCCAGTTACATGGGATGTGTTCATTTTTTAAAAAGTTTATTGGGCTGTATCCTTGGGTCTTGGATACTTTTCTGTAGGTATATTATGCTTTTTAAAAAAATCCTCACAAAACATGAGGATTTATACTTACCATTCAGCAAAATTACAGAGTATTGTTGCTTGCATTACTTGTACTTGAAATTCATGTCTCTCATGACTTGAAACCATGAGTAATAAATTGAAAATATTCACTGTAGTTACTGTCTAACATAGAACGGTTCTTAAGATTGAAGCCTCTACTGATAGAATGCCTAGAGTTGAAACCCATCTCTGCCACTTACTGTATGACATATGACATTAACTATTTTACCTTTCTTTGCCTCTGTTTCCTTATCTGTAAAATGATATACTAATATGGTACCTACCTTAGATGGCTGCTGTGATATTTCAATAAGCTATGTAGAAGGCTTTGTACACACTAAGCACTCAGTAAATGTTTTCCATTTTTTATTAACATTATGTTTGTTTAGCTAATATTTATGGATAATATCTCTGTGCAAGATGTAGAGTTGGTTCCCATAGAGAGGAGAGAACTGAAGAAGATAAAATGATTAGATCCTATGGATTTAAAACCCTGGACAGCCTAAGGCAATGACCCACACATACTATACAGAAGATAAATGTTACTGCTGTTGCTGAGACTGCAGTGAGGGTAGTATTTTCATTTAAAATAAAATTTTATCTGAAAGGTAAAAGCCTTAAATCCATATTCAATTTTAAGGTTTGACTTGAGTACTACAAAGAGATTTAACCAGTAATGGTGCATGAGTCTGGAGATAAGAAACTGGGAGGTCAAAGAAAAATAAGAAAAAATAAGGTGGGCATGTCATCTCTAAAGCTAGTGTGTTCATAGCCCACATGAACAGAGCAAATGAAATAAAGAGCTGTGTGTAAAGACAATATAAATTATTGTCTGATTCTCAGATTTTAAAAATTCATCATAAAACACATTTATAAAAAATAAAACCCTGGATGACCATGAATACGTTTGACAATATTTTTCTCTAAGTAAGGCAAGGAAGCTTCCCCTTCTAAAATGCAGAACTTATTCATTGAGTCAAAGACCAATCCTATCTCAAAGGTTCTACTGACGCCTCAATCCATAGCACATAATCCCTCTCACCAAAACTAAACAAAACTCAGTTTCATTTGAATGCACTTTTATCACTGTTTCAAAATTTGGAAAGCTCTTGGAATTAAATATTGAGAGGTGAAGGTTGACTGTCAAATTCATTGAAACCCCCGATTCAACACCAACAAAAAGATCCTAAGACTCTAAGGCCCTGTAGATTGCTGGTTCCCAGACTGAAATGCCCTAACACAGGTTGGTGACATTTAGTGGGCTGGGACCATTAGCATTCCCGATTTAAGCCTCGTTTCTGGAAAGTTCACCTAATGAAAACCAGCCACTGAACAATCGGTGTCACATCAAAAGGAAAACCTTTCTTCTTGTACTTGAAAGGTTTATTATAGGCTGGATCCACTTGTCTTAGAGCCTCTGCCGTATTTTAAGAGGCAAGCGAGAGCCTCCGGCAGGTGAGCATCATCGATCCGCTACTCCCTCCCTCTCTGTCACGTGGGAGAGAAAGGTTGGAACCCTTTTCCCGCCCCGGAGGATGGGCGGAGCCTGCAGACCGCACCGCCTCCAGGCCCCGCCTCCACATGGCCCCGCCCCGCCCACGTGGCCCCGCTCACAGATGCTTCGGGCGCGGCGGCAGCCTGTGTAGCGGAGGTCGGGGGCGGGGCTCACCCTGCCCTCGGGGTCCCCGGGCTCCGCCAATCAGCGAGCGCCCTGTTGGCCATCCGCAGGCTCCCGCGCCCCTCCTTCTCCCGCCGGCCTCCGCGTCCCAGAATCCAAGATGGCGGGATCCAGACGAAGGGGTTTCCAGGCCGGAGCTCGGCCGCTTTTCTGCGCCCTGCTGCTGTCGCTGAGTCGTTTCGTGGGGGGCGAGGGCGTGGGAGGCGATCCCGCTGCCACTGGCGCCGCGGGCACCCCAGCCGCGCTGCCACATCGCCGTTTCGAGTACAAATACAGCTTCAAGGGGCCGCATCTGGTGCAGAGCGACGGGACCGTGCCTTTCTGGGCCCACGCTGGGAGTAAGCTGGGGCAGAGGGCGGGGGGCCGGGGGCCCGGGGCCCTGCCCGCCTTCCGCCGCCGCCTCTTCACCTTCTCTCCGCCGGTACCCTGGCGTTCCAGCCGCTGTACACCATGTGTGCTGCGGAGAGAACCCTCTCGGCAGCCCCTCCTCCGGGTTCCCTCCCGCCCGCCAGGTTCCCCCCGCCTGTCCCCGAAAGTCTTTCCACCCCTTCTGTTCACTCTCACCCCTCTCCTGTCTTCCTTTCTTTGATCTTTTCGGCACTTTCCGTTTGGTCTAGAGGTGTTCTGTTACTTCTTACACTTCGAGCACTCAGTCGCTTCTAGGCATCAGGTTTCATCCTAACTCCACGTCTCTATGGGAAATGCCCATCACCCCAAGCCTGAGACCTGTCCAGCAGCCTCCATGCCCCCTTCCCGCTTCCCCCCGCTCCACCCCCACCCCCACCCCCGGCTTTCTTTTTCTGGTATTATATAGCAATGGTTTATGCTCCGGTTTGTACCCTGTGGCCCCTGATGGCCCCAGAGATGGCATATATTGGTCTTAGAGTAATTTTTAAGTTTTTGTATGTCAGAAGACATTAGGCCGTTGAACTACACCTTAAATTTGCCTCTCAGTGACTTGGAGTGGTCTTTGACCACACTTTTTGTGTATTAACAAATTTATGTAACTTTATACTCACACTCGTGGCTTTATTTAGTAGGAGAAGGGATATATTTTTTGGTATTGATTGTTTCTGAACCTGAGACTAAGAATACCATTATATCTTCAACTCTTTTTTAAAACGATTTTTGGAAAAAGTGAAATAACTTCTGTTTCGTAGTTTACTCATTCTCTTTGTTTGGCACTCTTATAGACAAGAAAGCCTTGCTAGAGCATGTATGTTTGTGAAAGAAAACATATCTGCACGTTTTAGTACTGATGTGTCACCGCTGACTGAGGAATCAGCCTTAGCACTTGGCATGCAATAAGCTCTGTTCAGTGACCATTCTATACACCCTTTGAAACAAGTGGCAAGTGCCTTTATATGAGATCTGAAGCTCTGGCGATTTGAATTCTATGTTTATGTGTGTTCAAGCAGTCATTTGTATGAGGCTTGTATACATTGTCTTAGATTGTCCAATGCTTGAAACGAAACGTTTCATTTCGAGAAAGTAATTACTGAATAGGAAGCACACTTTTAGGAAGGGCCAGTTGCTTGAAAGTAACATGTAATTAAAAGGTATAAATTTCAATTTGACTTAATGAGCGAGTCCTCAGGTATTTGAAGTAGAGCAATTATTTTGTTACCTAACGGTCATTTATTATGCACCCACTGTTCTTGATACACAAAAATGATACCCAGCAGAAGTTTTTGGATTTTTTGGTTTTGTTTTTCTTTTTGGAATGATGAACTTTTGAGTACTGGTGATGAGTTTGCTCACACTTTTTCATTTCTACCCCTCTCCATTGCCTGCCTGTTCTCTCTTTCTCACACTCACATACACCAGATCACCCGATTAGGAATGTTAATCAACTACTCAAATTAGTTACCTTGACTTTCTTTACAGAGCTATAACGAGCTAGTCTGCTGCAGAAAAGTCAAGATAATTTTCCTTAGTGAATTGAAGTTGTGTGACCAGACTGAATTTGAACTAAAGGGATTAGTATTTTAACTATGACTTACTTACCTATCTACTGACTCTGGGAATCACTGCTTTGGATATCCCTTGCTTTCACTGTCACTGTAATTTTTACAGTCTCTCTGTTCTTTTAACGCCATTGATCATTTTCCCCCTGTTCATTCTGCCCTGCAATCCATCATTAAAACAATTTTAAAACGGGGAAATTTAAGATTTGTTTAGAGACCTTTACGTTCACATACAAATTAAGACCAATCTATGGTGTTCTCTTTCTTAACTCTAATGTCCTTTTGTACTGTTGGTCCAGAAGGGCAAAAAAAGAGATAACAGTTTGTAACCCTTTACAGCTCTGAAAGCTCTTTTGTGTTCACGCTCTGATTTGATCCTTATTAGGTGAGGCAGGTGTTATCTGTTTTATAGATGAAAAAAATGATGTTCAGAAAGGTTAATTTTCCTGGAAAAGGGTACATGGTGTCAGTAAAATTGCATTCAAATCTAGGTCTTCTGATTCTGTGTCCAGTAGTCTTTCCATGATGCTCCCCTGCCCAACCTTTGAGTGTTTGAAAGTGATGGTGACAGTGACTGATTTTACTAAAGTATCTCAACTTTTCTTTCGTTGTTTTTCCTACCTGTAAAGTGATATTACAGTTGCTTTGTTTCCCAGCATGGATGTCAGAACAGGTTAACGTCTGAGAGGGTATGCTAGATTTGTTCAAATTTTAGGTGTGGTTGGTGCTTTAATAATTACCTAGTGCTATAATAGGAGGAATAGCTAACATTTATTGAAATATTTACATACACTTACATAGGTTCTTAGATACCTATGAGGTTGTTATTTCTCTAACTTGGAGTAATTTGCCTAAGGTCAAACGGCTAGTAAGTAGCAGAGCTGGGACTTGAACCTAGTCTGAAGATTTTCTCTGAGAAGCTGCCGAAGAATTGCCTATCGAATTGAAATTCAGTTGGCCCTCTCCCTAACAGAATGTATACTTTGCATATAACTTTTAAGGTATTTATTGAAATGATTGGGCACACCCCCTTCATTTTACAGTGAGCATATGGTGACCCCAAGAGAGTAAGAGAATTATTTGATCAAAGTCACACAGCTGAACTGAGGCTAGGAACAAGTCTCTTGATTCTTAGTGATATGTTTTTTTCACACTGAGCTTTCTAACATTTCTAAACTGACGAAACACATTGCAGTTTTAAAAAAATAATATGCAAATGCTTGAGATATTTAAAAAAGAGTATTATGAGAATTGAACAGTTTGCCTTTTAAGTCATAATTAATTTCCTCCCTCTGCCCCAAGAATTTTTAGTGTATGGTTGCAGCTTTATTTGTTTTTTTTCTTTTTTTGCAGAGAGATTTCACTGTTCAAAAGATAAGGGAGGTGTTAGCCCTAAAATTTTAAAGTCGAAACTCAATATGAAACTTTTTCACAACAAAATTATTGTACAGGTTACTAAGTTAAAATTTGATTTTTTTTTAAATTTGATCTTTATAGGTATATGTAGCAGTTCGCTGATGATTCGTTGAGTTTTACCTAATTATAACTTAAAGCTTTTCTTCCCTGATTTCTCTTCTAGATGCTATTCCAAGTTCAGATCAAATTCGAATAGCACCATCTTTAAAAAGCCAAAGAGGGTCAGTGTGGACAAAGACAAAAGCAGCTTTTGAGAACTGGGAAGTTGAGGTGACATTTAGAGTGACTGGAAGAGGTCGAATTGGAGCTGATGGCTTAGTATGATCATTTCTTTAACTTAGAAAATGTGTATAAATGAGTATGGCTCTAGTCTCTAACTGTTCCCCATTATGTATTTTTAGGCAATTTGGTATACGGAAAATCAAGGCGTGGAGGGCCCTGTGTTTGGATCAGCTGATTTGTGGAATGGTGTTGGAATATTTTTTGATTCTTTTGACAATGATGGAAAGGTATGTTTATTGTCAGGACTGCTACCCACTTTGATGTATCTGCCAGCAACATTAGGCAGTAAGAAATATAGCTTATTTAACACTTTCAGTTGAATAGTATAGAACTCCCTAAGCTATATTTTAAATATGATAATTAATATTCATATAGCTGGGAATTTACCAATTTAAAGCTATGCATGCACGAATTTTCATACACCAACTTGAGATCATAATGGAGTAATTTTGATGGGTAAACAATAATCGTTAGATGTAGGCAGTGAAACCAGTAGTGTTTAGAAGACTAGCAGTTTTCTTTCATGAGAACATCCAACCAAGTGCATGACTACTGTTAGCTCACATATTCATATTTTTTCATATGTTAATTACTTTTTTTGATCAGGCCAATTTTTCTGATGACCTCTTCTAAGACAGTTAAGAACAAAGTGTACTTTCATATAGAACATTGACTTGTGGGTTATAGCCTTAAGATTGATGATCTTCCATTCAGCTGGTTGTTTCTCTACTGATTTTCAGAGGTCATTATTAGCAATTTAAAGAACTTTGATAATTCCTTGAATGCCGAGCCCATGTTATTTTTTAATTTTGAGTTTTAGAATCTTAGAGATGTGAGAGACCTCATAGCACACCAGGAATGATCTAGAATTCTTTGATTAAGGATTTTAAAACCAATACTTTCTCTTTATTTTTAGAAAAATAATCCTGCTATAGTAATTATAGGCAACAATGGACAAATCCATTATGACCATCAAAAGTAAGTGTGTATGTTTTACATTATTTCTGATTTCAGCTTTTCTTTGGAAACCTTATGAAATATATTGTTTCAAATCTGAACACTTTCCAAATAAAATGAGATTATTCTTTTTCTTGAGTCATATGAGTATTTTTTAACTTGGTGGAAAGGTCTTATTTTAATTTTGTTCTGTTTTAGAGTTCTTTCTGTGGACCACCTCAGGTTTTAAGCATAAAAAATGTTTTTATTTAAGCTAAAATTATATAATACTTCTGAAAGGTTAGAGGATGTTGCAGGCTCTCAGTGATGCTACTAGTCATGCTTTTTCATCTTTAGTAAAAGAGATCTTTCAAAAATAAAATTGAACCTTGACCCAACTGAAAAGTAAGCCATTTATGCCACTTTATTCAGCCTTAATATTGCTTTATTTAAAGACTCTCCGTAGGTTACAAAGCTTCTAAGTGATTAGTATATTTATAATATATATGAATTAGGGATACACATTTTTGATTTTCTCATGTTGGTTGTGGAGGAATTACATTTAGCCAATCAGTGAACTGTAAGAAAAATTATTTATCTGTGCTCTGGTTTACTGTTTCTACCTTAGTGATTTTCAACCTTGGTATTGTAGTTCATCACAACTCCCTGTGGAGCTATGTAGAGGTACCTAGGCCTCCTCCTTTTGATTCTGCTTCAGTTGATTTGGGTGGAATCTAGGAATCTACATTTTTAAAAGCTCTGTGAGTGATTATGTTTCTGACTCAGCGTAGAGAACCACTGCCCTAATCTCATGTGGGATAGTATAACTTTCCCTTGCCATTAGCACGTGGTAATAACATTGGGCTTCTAATGTTACCCAGAGTTCTGACAGGAAAAATTTATGTTAATTTTGTGTCTTCTGAATAAATAACATGAAGTATCCCAAGAGTTTGTCATAGCTTGATATTACTTTAATCTTCCTGAATTTTTAAATATTGAAAAGTCTTGTAAGTTTCTTGTTTGTTTCCCCTTTTCTCATACTATAGTGATGGTGTTAATCAGGCTTTAGCAAGTTGCCAGAGGGACTTTCGTAATAAACCCTATCCTGTCCGGGCAAAGATTATATATTACCAGAAAACATTGACAGTAAGTAACATGCATTAAGAGATAATCAGATGAACAATATTCTAGTATGACTTTGCATTTTGAGTTCTTGATAGAAATTAAATGCACTTAAATTTAGGTATTATTCATGTACTCATCAGTGTTACTCTAAAAGAACACAAGTGGCTTCAAAGCTCAGCATAAGTGGTCATCTGTTGTAAAACCTTGCCAGTAGATTTCCTTTTTCTCAGTAAACGTTTAAGCATCCAACTGTATGGCACATATTATGTACATGTCCAAGTCTCCAGATTATAGATATGAGAAGGACAAAGGTTATTCTCCCAGAAGAACTTAAAATCCAGCAGAGAAGACACATGTAGCATCACTGTGCTGTGTGATAAATGCTACAGCAGAGACACCATCAAGGGATCAAGGTGTTAGAATCCTGTAACTCTGCCAGATGGGGGTGGGGCACATCAGGATCTGTTTCTCAGAGTTGACCTACCTTAAAGAGGAGCCTGAAGTTCTTAAATGGAAGCAGGGGGAATGTATGTGTGTGTATTCATTCCAGGCAGAGAGAGCAGGCATAGAAATTTGAGAGAAGTTGAACTATTTGAGGAAGGCAAGTAGTTTGGTATGGCTGGAGGATGGAGATAAGTGGAAAGTGAGGTGAACGGCTGGCAGTAACAGGCCTTGCAAGGCCTCCTGTAGTTTATGCTATAAGGAACTTTTAAGAAAGTTTAAATAGTTTTAAGCAAGAAGTGAAATGATCAGATCTGCAATTTAGAAAGATGACTTAGGTCGCAGTGTTCTTATAATGGTATTTATGAAAGGAGCAAAGGGTAAGATGATTTGTACTTCTTGACTTTTAAAGTACTATGCTTTGTGCTTTGTACTGTACATGCAGTTTCTTTGTTATTCTAACAACGCTCTGGGGTAGCATCCCATTTTGTACATGAGGAAATTTAGTATGGGAGATTTTAAGTAGCTTGGACAGTGTCATACTAAATAAGTAACAAATATGATTTGAGCCCAGCTGTATCTTAACTTGCAGGATCCTACTTGTGGTCTGAACGTAAGCAAGGATGAGGGACAATAGAAGAAATGATTAGAAGGTGGAGACTATAGGACTTAGTACCAGTTTGCTTGGGTTTGGGGAGATTAACTCCTCATATTGACAGGTATTTTATTCTCTTGCTGAAAATTTGGACAGGGTATTATAATATTTCATCTGTGTGATTTAATCTTATCTGTCTCTTACTAAACTTTGACTCTGAAGTGTGATAAAAGTCCGCCTGACCTTTTGCGTCCACTCTATACTGATTGGGTTGTTAGAAGTAAAAGGTATTGAAGAGGCTAAACTACCACTTGACTGGGATAATGAAAAGATTATTCATGCGTCCAGTGGGATCCTTTGCTTTTGTAGAATTCTAAGATTTTAGTGAGAAATTTAGGATTACTTTAAACATACCTTCTGCAGAGTAGAAACTTATATCTTTTTTTTTTTTTTTTTGTCCTTTTTGTCTTTTTTACTGACCGGTAACGGGATCGCAACCCTCGGTGTTGTGCCCGCGGGGGGGGGGGGGGGGGCCCTCGGTGTTGTGCCCGCGGGGGGGGGGGGGGGGGCCCTCGGTGTTGTGCCCGCGGGGGGGGGGGGGGGGGCCCTCGGTGTTGTGCCCGCGGGGGGGGGGGGGGGGGCCCTCGGTGTTGTGCCCGCGGGGGGGGGGGGGGGGGCCCTCGGTGTTGTGCCCGCGGGGGGGGGGGGGGGGGCCCTCGGTGTTGTGCCCGCGGGGGGGGGGGGGGGGGCCCTCGGTGTTGTGCCCGCGGGGGGGGGGGGGGGGGAACCGGTCTCCACATGGGATCCGAACCCTCGGCGGGAGCGCTGCCACGCTCCCAAGCGGCGCACTCTCCAGTGCGCCACCGGGCCGGCCCGAAACTTATGTCTTTTTAAGTTTTTTCATTTTCTGCCTTTTTTGTCAGTTTGACTTGTCACTTCTGTTGTCTCTGTTAACTGTGACAGTTCAGTTACCCCGCTAATTTAATATAGAGGAGCTCACTACTTGTTGAGGCACTCTATTTAATTTTCAACCAGCTGAAGTTAAAATTGTAAATTTAACCTATTGGTTTTAGCTTTGTCACTGGTGTTTCAGAACAAGTCTGATTCCTCTTCTTATGAAACATTCAAAGAGAGTAATAGTCCTTAAGTCTCCTTAAGAAAAGGTAAACTATATTTCATTTTAGAAAGATTGTCATGGAAAGTTATCAAATTTTTCTCTTTTTAAGCATCTGACATGTAGTGGGGCAAAAAATATTTTCTTTAGTGAGATATCTTATTGTATAATGATACCAAATAGTTGAGGTTAAAGTTAATCCTTTGTAATAACAAAAAGAAACAAGACTGAATAGTATTAGTCATAAATTTGCCTAAATGAAATTCATTTTACAATGTCTGTAGCTACAGTATGTCTTTCTAGGTTATGATCAATAATGGCTTCACACCAGATCAGAATGATTTTGAATTTTGTGCCAAAGTGGAAAATATGATTATCCCCACACAAGGGCATTTTGGAATATCTGCTGCAACTGGAGGTCTTGCAGGTAATTCTTGCTATCTTTAATATTAAAAGTTTGTGAATTGACTTTTATCGTGAACAGTATATTTTGGGAATTTGTAGGCTTGTTTACTTTTAAGCTTTAAGAACTAGTTGGAACCTTCCCATAGTCTGCTGTGCCAGTCTTTTGGTCTGTTGAGACTGCTTTTACACCATTTTGTAGGTATGCAGCCAGCAGGCGCTACATGCAAATATGTAAATTAGAACACCAGTTTGAGTGCTGTTTTACAGTGAATGAGACATATTTAAAGTCAAGTCTATAAAAGGTTAATTGCCAAGTGTTTTAGGATCCTGAGAGTTGTCACATCACATATAAATGATTTTGGCGACCTGAGGAAATATTATTTGGGTTCTAAACTTTAAACAAAGATAAAGTTACCATTTTTTTCCACTTGTAGTGATAAAAGAAGTTATTATTCAACAATACCATTTGTGTTTAAATAGTAGATTGTAGTTTACATATTTTCAAGTATATGGATTATTCTTTACAACCTTATTTTTTTTTTATAACCCTATTTTTAAATGAGTTTGCCAAATCTTAAATGAAAAGAGTTTCTGAAGATCCCATGGCCAGTAGTGGTCAGCCCCAGGCAGGACTTGGTCTGGATTTCTGACCTCTGGGTCCAGTGCTTTATACCGCAGTACTTCTCAAATTACCTAACTGACACTGTAGTATTACTATTTTCTCCTTAATCTGTCTAGATCTCTAGATCTCCATAAGAGTGGCAGAAAGCATAAAGATTGCTGCACACTTGAAATTGATTGCTCTGCTTTGTGAATATGACTAGCCAAGATTGGTATTTTAGTTAAGTGTTACGAGGTTTGATCCGTTGAATAGCTTGAAATTAATTTGATTTTTTAAATGTGACTTTAGATAAAATAAAATTATTAACATGTTCCCTGTGAGAGAAACAAATATGAAAGTAAGACAAAAAGAGTTCTATGTGTGATAAGACAGGTTTAGAGATAGAGCAGTACAGGAAACAAATGGAGAACAGAATTTTGTGTCATTTTGCTGGACATTTTCCATGAAGGAGATTTGTGGGAAAATATGGGGGAGGATCTTGGTGCCAGGATTAGGAGTTTGGACTTGTTTTGGCCCTTCATTTGTTTGTTCATTCCTTATCAGACATTTATTAAACATCTGTTATGTGTTAAACACTGCTAAATGTTCTGACTTAGAGTTTAAGAAAATGATTTTTAGATTATTTCCAGTGTAAATCTTTCAGATGAATTTTTGTCTCCAAGCTCAAAGAGCACCATTGCCCTTACCAAATTAGAGCTAATTTTTCTTTACCTTATTGATCATTTTTTTAAAAGCAATAAATATCTATAAATTCAAAAATATAAAAAAATAATCTATTAAGGAACTTTTTCAGACTTTTTTTTAATTTGTAGATGACCATGATGTCCTTTCTTTTCTGACTTTCCAATTGACTGAGCCTGGAAAAGAGCTAGTAAGTATATAAAGTTTTTCAAAAAGTTTTATCAGTTTAGTGATTTTTGCCTTGTGGCTGAAAATTTGGGAAGCCTGACTTAGATTTGGATCTTGTTTCTGTCAGTTGTTGCTGTGTGATCTTGTGCAAGTTACTGCCCTCTGTAACATTCCAATTCTTCATTGATCAAACAGAGGTGTTTGTACTGGCCGCCTCATGACGTTGGCAGGATTGAGTGAAATGCTGCACTCATAGCACGTGCTCAGTAAATGGTAGTAGTTACTATTTTTGTTATTATTAGTAGCATGATGTTTGAAACATATGATTATGATTTAAGTAGGGAATAACATTTTTATGTTAACCTTTCACCTAGTGGTGAAATAGTTGAAATGAGGAAAAGAACATATATTGAAGTATCTTATTGTTTTTCTTATCTTTTTTTATAATCTATTCTTAAACTCCAAAAAAGCCCACACCAGATAAAGAAATATCAGAAAAAGAAAAGGAAAAGTATCAGGAGGAATTTGAGCACTTTCAACAAGAATTGGATAAAAAAAAAGAGGAATTCCAGAAGGGTCACCCTGACCTTCAAGGGCAGCCTGGTGAGTTGTAGTGAAGCCTGCGGTGGTTGTGGCTGTGTCATGGATTTTCATGTCTGTGTGTTGCCTGTCCCATCTCTGCTCTCTGAACTGCTACATGCCAAGTAATTTCTAGAAACAATTTATGAGAAATCTTCAATCTTTAAGGGTCTGGAGATTCATGTTTTACCCATGAGAGTCTGGCTTAGAGAGGTACGAAGAGCACCATGGTGATGTGGGTGAGCAGTGAGCCACTAGAATGGAAGCTCCGTGAAGACAGGGATTTTGTTTGCTGTGTTCACTGCTATGTCCTCTGAACCTAAAAAAAACCCCAAAACTCTGCTGACCTAGTAGTGAGGCTCAGTAAGTATTTGTTGAATAAAATCACACAAGGTTTATGTCTTTCCTTTTAGTGGAACACAATTACCTTATTAGCATAGGGATAATACTTGAAAACTGACAAAACTTGAAAGAATAGTAAAAACTTGTAATACTTGAAGTGATATCTGCCTCTCCTCCTACTACTACTCAACAGAATCTTGAACTTTAAAGATTGAAAATGTGAAAATACTAATCTAAGCCAATATGATTAAAAATTTAAGTGTGCTGATGTCAAAAATAAAACATGTTAAGGCTAAATAGTGTGACTATATTATCTACTAGCTTTTATTATCTGGGTCGTTAGCCATCAGCATAAATGCTCAAGGTTGTACTTAATAAAGCCTGTGGCCAGCTTTTGAACACTGTTTTGTGTGCAGTTCTCTCAATGATCAACAGTATGATTTAGACTTCAAGAAGATAAAAATAAAATATAAATGTCATTATTTTCTTGAATTTGTTTTAAACATCATTACGTAAGACTTAGTGTTCAGAGTATAGTTTGGTTAATTTTGGCAAATGTGTATGACCATTCAACCATCACCCAGATTAGTACAGAGAATATTTTTATCACCCCAGAAAGTTTTCTCATGCCTCCTTCAGGTCAACCCCCACTCCACAGAGCCCATCACTATTTTGATTCGTATCACCATAGATTAGTTCTGCCTAGTCATATAAATAGAATCACACAATATATATGAAAGAGAAAATTATCTTTAAATGAAAAAATTCAGACTTAATTTATAAGTGTTCAGCCACCAAAGAAGGCAAAAACAAATAGTAATTTAATCACAATTGAATTAAGTGCATGCTTACTATTTGGGAGATTATACCACTATGTTGGTAATGTTCTAATTTTGGCATATGTTGGCATTTTGGTCACTTGTGGTGTTTTGAAAAGTACATATGTGTAGGTGATTCTGATCATTTTAATTTGTAATTTTCTTTCAGCGGATGAAATATTTGAGAGTGTGGGAGATCGTGAGCTAAGACAAGTCTTTGAAGGACAGAATCGTATTCATCTTGAAATCAAGCAGCTGAACCGACAGTTAGATATGATTCTTGATGAACAGAGGAGATATGTCTCTTCCTTGACAGAGGAAATCTCTAAAAGAGCAGTAGGTGTCCCAGGGCAGCATGGACAGGTGAGCTGTCAAAATATGCAGGGATGCCTTGTTTAGCCTTTGCTGGAGGGGAAGAAGATAAAGGCTACTGTGCTATGTCCTCCTGCAGAATGTGGATTGTTGAGCTGGCTGGTCATCTTTTTTCCCTCCAGATCACTCAGCAAGAACTGGATACTGTTGTGAAAACTCAGCATGAGATTCTGAGACAAGTAAATGAAATGAAGTAAGTATGTAAAAGTAGTGTCTGAGTGTTATGTGATGTCTTTATCCTACATCTGTGACTTTTCTAGGTGCGCCAGTGCTGTATCATTGTAAGATTCCTGCATGAGGGTAAAAATCACTTTCTAGATTAATTTTATAAATAGGGGAATATACCTACAGGAACTTTTAATATTTAGAAACTACAAATATGTCTAAATTTTTACATTGTCATAAACTTGAAAAAAATGCTTTAGTATCTTTAAAAAAAATAGGTCTATAGTTACTTGACAGCCAGGTATAGTCTTATATTTATAAAATATGAAAACATGGAGTAATATGTAATAGTTCTATGAAAAATACTAGGAGGGTAAGCATATGTAGCATTGTAGGACTGTAATACAAGCAGACTTGGTGCAGGAAATTTTTGATGGAATGAAACCATTTTGAAGGAAATATGTGTGACCATCTCTTTTTCATGCCCATCTTGTACTCTAAGAGAACTGGTCAAAGAGCAGAGAGGAGATACTGTGTTCTTGGAACACTGAATGATAACTTTCTAATGAGAATGATTCATTTATGCAAATAATTAACAGCTGTCAATGCTTGCAGCAGAGAAAACAAGCCATCATGTCATGTTCTCATAAGCTAATATTTTAGTACACTGCCCCACCTAATACAACCCTTAACAAACACGAATGTCAAGGTGAGTTCTTTAGGACTAGACAATTAAATAGGATTGGATTAAGCAGAAGGTGATAATACCTAAACATCTAGAGATTAAAGGCATCTAACTTGTAACTGCAAATTTGTATTTCTTCAATTTTGCTCTTTGGCATTTTAAAAAATCTTCAAACTGTGAACTCATGATTGAAATTTTTATGATACTAAATGAATAGTTTAGCTATTGAAACAGTTTAAATAGAATTATTTTAGGAAGAGACCAGATCATGTAACAACACTTAAAAAAATCTTTTTACTTCAGTCTAATTTTAGACTTCAGAAGCTGCAAAAGTAGTACAGAAAGTTTCCATGTGTCCCTCACTCATCTTCCCCTAATGTTAACATCTTACAAACCATAGTATAATTGTCAGAACCAAGAAATTAACATTAGTACAGTACAGTCAACTAAACTAATGACCTATTCAGATTTCAGCAGTTTTTCCACCAGTGCCTTTTTTCTGTTCCAGGATATTATCAACAGTCACATGTTGAATTTAGTTGTTATTTTTCTGCAGACTTTTACAGTCATCTTTCCTTTTCTTTCATGACATTGACACTTTCCAAGAGCTTTAGTAAGCTTTGTCAAATGTCCTTTGATTTGGTTTGTCTGGTGTTTACTCATGATTGAATGGAAGTCTTTTGACAAGAATACAACAGTGCATCATGTTCATGGTGTGATATATCTCATTACTGGTGATGGTGACTGTGGTCACTTAGTTATGGTGGTTTCTTCCTAGTTTCCTTACTATAAAGTTACCATCTTTCCCTTTGTGGTTAATATTTTGGGGAAGATACTTTGAGACTATGTAATTATCCTATTTCATTTCAAATTTTTGCTCACTAATTTTAGCATCCATTGATGTTTCTTGCCTGAAACAAGAATGTGGTGTTTAACAAATGCTGATTTTCCTATTTTCATCATTTCTTCTACATTTTTTAATTGGAATTTTACTATAAGGACCAACTATTCTTTTTCTCCCAATTGTTATTTAATCAGTTATTTATAGCAATACAGACTCATGGATATTAATTCTGTGAGTTACAATCCAGTACTATCATTGTTTATTTTGCTGTTCAGATTGTTTCAGGTTTGGTCATTATGAGCTTCTCCGGGTTGGCTTCTTTGTTCTTTCAACAAGTCCTCTTTTTTTCTTGGTAAACATTTCTTTACTTTCTGTTACTGTACTATGTTCCAGGCTCATCTTGTATTTTCTCTGCCCTAGCTCTGGAATCAATCACTTCTCCAGTGAGTCCCGTTTTCTTTCCTTTTGGAGAAATGTATTTAAAAGCCAAGGTCTGGGCATTAGGTGTGCTCATTACTACTGGGATGCCATTGTTTTTAGGCCCTCTCAGTGAGCAGTGCTAGGGAATATATGTATGTATAAAACCGACACATATACATATGTCTGTATTTCTGTATCCATCAATGTACTTTTGTGTTAAAAATATATATATATATATATGAGATTATGCAGATATTTTGGATTCCAGTTGGTCTGGACTAGACTGAACAGTACAGGGTTGATTTTTCTTCTACAGGTTGACCTTCCTTCTTTTTCTATTTGAAAATTGTTTCTCCAGGGAGAAATTTGGTTCTATTACCTATATTTACTTATTGGTTCCCTTTTAGTATGCACATACGTACATGTAAAGTGGTTTCAAATTGTTAACTCATATCCCTGTGAGAAAGATATTTACTGATGTAAAATTATGTAAAATTCCTTTTGTCTCTATCCTTACAAGTATCCAAACCAGATACTATTTTCTGGGTAGTTACTTAATCTAGTTCTCTTCTTCCCCACTCTCTTCAGTATGGTTAATGTTATTCATTTATAATATAGTTATGTTCTTTGTTAGTGTTTATATTCCTCCTATATCCTGGTTGATTTTATTTGTTTATATTTTGGGTATGATTCTTAGAGGCAGAGGCCCCCCCCCCCCCAAACACAAGCACACACACACATACTTTAAAAAGTTCACGGAACAATTCATATATCTAATTCTGTTTTTCCATGAACTTTTTGAAGTATCCTCAGGTCTATGCATGTGTATGTGTGTGTGTATGTGTATATGTATGTATGACTTCTCCATTCCTGCTACCCCATTCCCATCCTTCCCTTCTTTCCAATCTTTTTCACTTCCTCTTGGTAACCAATCCTGTTAGTTTCTGGATTATTCTTTCAGTGTTTTTTCTGCACATATGTATTTTCTTAAATCCCTTCTGTGAAGGGTGGCATACTCTAGATACTACGTTTGTGCTTTGCTTGTTTCACTTAACAGTAGTATGAAAATATCATAAAATTCAGCGAGTGGTTAGGAATCCTATCCATCCAGCTGAATTATCTGAAAGCACTTCTTTAGGGTAGTTAGCAATCCTTGCAAACTCCCACCTACTGAGAGCAAATGTCATGCATACAATAGGTTAATGTCAAAACAGAACTTAAATTTCTGAATTTGTCCTCTGGAGCTTTTTCTTCAGGATTAAGCCTCAGAAAAAAAATGCAAAGAAATAGGAAATATTTGCCTTTTACAGAAAAGGTGGTTTGTGTGTGTATGGATTTTCATATTCTTAGGGAATCATGAATTTTTTTTTAGCAGAAAGAAATTTTAAAGAGCATGCTGTTCAACCGCCTTTCTGTGGCAGCTAATGCTTTTTTCCACTTCTTCATCTCAAAATTCTTCCCTTTGAAGACTTCTGGCGTTCCGCTCACTCATGGTGTTCTTGGCCCTTCTGCTTCCGTTCAGTTTTTCTCACTTGTTGCGTTTTCTCCCATCATCCCTTAAAAAGTGTTTTTCTCTAGGGTTCTGTCCAGCCCTCTTTTAACTTGACCTGTTCCCTGATCTAAATATGCCCTCCTTCCGCCACATTTCCGTCCCCATAGACCCCACCTCATCCTTTAACACTCAGTTCTGGGTACCCAGCTACATTAAATGTATCTCTCTTTGTAAAGCTCTAGTTGTTCTATCACATTGCTCTCCTGCTACACTGTTAGTCTCGGCAGGGCAGGAATTACATTTTTCTTGCAGTTTATATTCGTAAAAATTGGTTGGCTCATAACATGTACCAAATAAATGTGAGCAGAATCAACAGGCAAATAATTATTGAATGGACTTCATTAAGTGACTCAATTCTTGTATATTAAAAAACGTGTATATGTAAGTGAGTTCATGCTTTTGGAAAGTGATAGGTTTAAATACAGATATGTGAGAAAGTTATACATTCTGGAAGGTTTTAGTCTTGGTAAGTATTTTAGGTACATTAAAATATAATTCTTAATTTGGGTTTTAATGCATAAATTTTCTTGAGCAAACATATACCATTAAAAGAAATGTTCATCAACACCTGATATTGATTCAGAAAGCACTTGAGCTATTTTATACCTAGTTTTAAATTTATTACAAATATAACTCAAATATAATTTTTAAAAAATTTTATTTTACTTAACATTCTGTCTGACATATTGTGTTATTTCTAAGTAATTCTAGTATTTGAGTCTTTTTCTTTGTGTTTTCTTTCAGTAAAGCTCTTTTTCAACTAATTTTAACTCCAAGGAAATAAGTGAGATAACATGAATTTATTCATCCAAATTGAACCATAACTGTTGAAGGCACTGTCAGGAAATCAGAGACATGACTCAGGGAGCTTATGATATATGAGGGAGATCATCCATATATGCAGATACAAAGCAAAAAGTGTGTGTGTGTGTGTGTGTGTGTGTGTAGGGAGTTATTGCATCTGGCAGGAAAGGATCAGGGAAAGGAGATTGTAGAAGAAAGGTAGCATTTGAATTGGGTGTTAAATTTTAGACCATAGATATTGGGAAGGGATCATGACAAGAGAGAACATCACAAAGACAGAGGCTTAAAGGTGAAGGGTATTTTCAGGGAATGACAGGAGCCAATACAGATAAGGGAGTAGTGGGAGATAAAGTTAGGAAGATAAGCTGCAAACAGATTATGGAGACCCTTAAGGATTCTTAAAGACTTTTTATGGCCATTTTCAAACATACATAGAAGTAGAGAGGATAACACAGTGAACCTCTGCATAGCCATCAATCAGCTTCAGCAACTATGAACATTTTGCCAGTCCAATCTTATTTTATCTACCTCACCCCAAAATCACCAGACTTGAAGATAATTCATATTATGTATGTTAATTTCAAACCATTTGCCATTTATAGAGCTTTTTAATTATTCCTAGGTAAAGTAACTTGATATTTTCAGGTGAATTGAAATCCATATTCATTTTTATTTATTAATAAATAGTCCTGTTATATTTCTGCCATTAATGAAGAAAAATATATGTAGTGTCTTGCTTTTCTGCTTAGAGACTCATATCCAAAGGGCATACTCAGTGTTAGAGCTATTTATTTTACATCTGATTAGTGGAATCACATCTTGCATGGAGATTATATTTTAAAGTCAGTATATAAGGTAAAATGTTGTACAAGGGCTCTTCAAAAAGTTCATGGAAACATTCATATTATATTTTAATTCTATTTTTCCATGAACTTTCAGAAGTACTCTTGTATAAGGTCAAAATTACCCTTCAAAAAGATACTGCATTGGATACTATAACACCTCAATATACCAAACAGCAAGTTTTTTCTTTATATTTGGAACAGATAGATGCTTCTTGGTTTGGTTCCAGTTGAAGCACTAGGTTTGTATATGGGGACTATCTGGTAGAACCACAAGAAGAAATAGAATTACATTTGTACTCAGGTCCCCAAGACTCCTTTAGTTCTATGATTTGCTAGAAGTACTCACAGAACTCAGAAAAGCTGGTATGTTCATGGTTATTGTTTATTACACTGAAAGGGTATAGAGTAAAATCAGCAACAAGAAAAGATGAATAGGGTGGAGTCCAGGAGAAACCAGGAGCAAGCTTCCAGTTGTCCTTTCCCAGGGGAGTCTCACAGACATTACTTAATTCTGCCAACAGAGATGTTTGACAGCACATGTAAAGTGCTACCAGCCTGGGATGCTCACCCGAGCTTTCATGTCCAGAGTTTTTATTAAAGGTCAATTACATAGGTGTGGAGCACCCACGTGACTGACCTTCAGTACTCAGTCTCCAATCCCCCTTGAGGTCAGATTGATACAGTGGAAGCCTAAGGCCCCAGGCAAGAAAAAATCACATTGTTTGCATAAATTCTCTTGGGGGAGCTCAAGTCCCCAGATATAGAAAGGTACTCTTAAGCAGGCAGGATAGTTCAGGGGTTCATAGGTCATCTCCCAGGGGATGGTCAAGGTCCAGTCCTGAAAACCTTCAGAGTGTAGAGGATTTGGAAAGTCCAGGCCTGATAAGGTAAATCCTTTACTGGACAATATTGAACACCTAGAAAGATTTCTTATTACTTTATTAAGAGTATCATCCATTATGTTATTCAATATCCACTTATACTATTGATTTTAACACAGATTACTTAGTAGTATTATCTATGTGGTTAGGTGACCTTTAGTAAATATTAAGAGTATCATCCATTATGTTATTCAATATCCACTTATACTATTGATTTTAACACAGATTACTTAGTAGTATTATCTATGTGGTTAGGTGACCTTAGATAAAGACATAATGTTAAGTTGTAGTTTTATAAATTATTTTCCAATTTTGAAGACAATTCAGTTATTAAAAATACTTAATTTTCTTTACCTTTTTTTATCTGATATATTAAGCTTAAAAAGATACAACCATTTGAAATCTGTGATTGAAAAAATCATCTTTCTAGTGATTTCATTGTATGAAGGAATTTTCTGTTTCAGGAATTCCATGAGTGAAACTGTTAGACTGGTCAGTGGAATACAGCATCCTGGCTCTGTAGGAGGAGTCTATGAGACAACACAGCACTTCAATGACATCAAAGAGCACCTGCACATAGTAAAGAGGGATATCGATAACTTAGTGCAGAGAAATATGGTAACTTTGTTTCTTGCTCCTTTTATAATTATCATAATCTTTAGGAAAGGAAGAACTCATATTCTACTTTATTCTATTGAAAATATTTTAACCTTTTAGTTGGTACTAATGTTCATTTTTAATGTTCAAGATAGAATTGTTCCATATGTTCAAAATGTCCATGTGTCCTGGTTTTCTAGTTGTTTAAGGTGGAGGAGTAGCTCCCATAGCAGTTAACCGTTCATGGTCAGTAGCATGGGATTGGAGTTGCTCCTCCCATCCCATGAGTTTTTTATAGGTAGTATTTATATTTTATTGCTCAACAAAAATATTTTCTGATTTCCATTTTAATATCTTTTCTGACTCATGGGTTGTTTAAAGTGTATTTCTTTAGCTTATTTTTTTCCCCAAGGTTCTGATCTGATAGTTTCTTACTGTCTTGTTAGCTTCATTTGCCTTTAGTCAGGTTTTGTGTGTTTGGATTGGGTTGGATTGCATTGGGTTTGTTTCTAGCAACTTAAGTCGTCAACTTGCAATCTTGCCTTCTTTATATTTTTGGACACTACCTTTCTTAACTGTATTTTTATGTATATTTCTTGAATATACATTTTTTTTCAAATATGGCCTAATAGTTTCTTATTAACCATGACCTCTCATCTAAAGCATTATTATCTGTTTTCTTAGTTCTGTTTGAGATTATTTTTTCCCACTATTTGCATTTGTTGCAGTGACCAAGTTGATGCTGTGGGTAGGATATATGTACTGAAGAACTTTGCCCTGTAGATGTAACCATACTAAAAACAAGTCATCTTAGAAGCCATTCTGTCTGGATACATTGATGAAATCTTTGTCCCTGGTATTTAATTACCACCTTAAAATGGAAGGAATACTCATGGAAAGGAAAAGAAACATTTTTCAGAACGCTAGTCAGTAATGTTCAATGCTGTGAACTGGAGAGGATGAGGACTGAGAAAAAGCTAGTATATTTGTCAAGTAGCTTATTGATAGGGTAACCATGTACTTTATTGTCTGAACTGGAACACTTTTGAGAGTGAAGGGGGCACTATTAATAACTACACCAGTATAGCAAGTGTGAACTGGGAGTGTCCAGGGGTCTGTGGTGACCCCAGTCTCTTGATCTTTAAGGACACTAAAATCACCATCACCGAAATGAAGCTAGGAGCCACATGGCAATGAGTTAGTGACTGAACAGGAAAAGGTGGAGGACTTTCACTGTCAACTACACTTTCAAAAAAAATTGGCAGTAAAAGTTAAAGGAATAAAAGATATTTGGGGGGATGAATAAATAACCATACTTATTTATATAGTAAACTGTGAATTTAAATATTTCACACTTGTTTTTCCAAAGTACTATCTAGAGTAATTGTAATAGAAAGTTCTTTGCCTTGTAGCCATCAAATGAAAAACCGAAATGCCCAGAACTACCACCATTTCCATCATGTTTATCTACGATCCACTTTGTTATATTCGTAGTGGTACAAACGGTGTTATTCATTGGTTATATCATGTACAGGTAAGTCTCTTGATAAAATTTGACCCAACATTTTCTTGTATCTGTTTAATTTGAAATATTCAGCAAAGTTATATATGCCCATAATACAACTTGCAATACCTATAAAATTAGGTTCATACAAAGCAAATGTTATTTCTAGTCTATTTCATTTCACATAGAATATACACTTAATGTATCTTTTTTATACTTCAGAAGGCATTGGTATTTTAATTTAAGTGATCCTACTTCTTTCCAAAGTTAAATGTATAGAACTTCTTTTAGTTTTTCTTCCTTTTTTTCTTTAGGACTCAGCAAGAAGCAGCTGCCAAAAAATTCTTTTGACCACCATTTTCATATGTGTACATCATGTATGTATATACAAAATGTCCTTTTGAAGGAATTTTAAGTATTTAAATTGCTTCATAGTCTAAATTATTAAGTTTTTTATAAAATAACTGTTTATTGATTTGCAGTAAGAATAACCCTTAAACAAAGACGACTACACATAAATTTGTTCATAGTTCATAAATCTGTTTAAATTTCAGTGAATTTCTGGTCGGTAGAATGCAGCCACTGAAAAGAATATTGACAAGTAAGAGAGTTAATAATGGGGGCAACCCCTGGATATGAATGTTACCCCTAAGTCTCCAATATTGGAGGTCTCCTTATTTAACATAGATATACTTGCCTTCCTGCCTTCCAAAATGTGAGGTCTAGTTAAGATTTCCCGTCATGTTTATTTTGTAACCAAAGTATTTTTTTAGAGGTCATAATTTCCTAATCTGAGACCCAGTCCTGCAGTCCGTTAATCTTAACACAGCTCCGTATGAAATCAAAGAATATTTTGTCTGGAAGTTTTAAGATCTAGATAATAGGCTTCAGGATGTTTATTGAAGTCTTTTTTCCCTCTGATTATCAATGGTATATTTCACTTTTAAAGAAAATTCTTGGGGGAAATTAAGAGCTGCTTTTTGCCTATAAAACCATTTAGATGAAAACATTCCTCTGATAATGGTTTTTATGGGTATTTTGTCTGGTAATGTATTCATTTCATGATTGCCTATATTCTTGCATGCCTCTATTCCCACAGTGTCAGTTCAATATTATGAAAATGATTTTCGTATTTATATTTGTAATTTAAGGAACTTATTTTTCCCATTTTGTATAGCATGTAAATTCAGCTCAGATTGCATGATCTGAGGATGTTTTAAATTCAAAAAACCTACCACTACATTCTGGTTTACGTTACTCATTGCAACCTGGAGTTTGTGACTATTTGCATACTCTTTTAAATTAAGGAGGCTGTAGTTGAAGCAATTTTAAGAGTTTTGAAGGCAAAATTTGAAAAATACAGTGAATGCTTTTGATTTCTTCCTTTTTATGCCAGAACTTAAGGATATTGTGAAGCACTTGTTAGTAAAGTTAACCTTCAAGTGTCAGACTGGAAGGGGTTTTTATAGTCTGTGTACATAATTCTAGGTATTATAGAAACAGTCTCTAAATGACATTTTAAAATGCAGATTAATTTAATTTTTCGCAGTGGATGTAGACTTAGTTTTTCTGGCTTCAAAACACTGTTTTATCTCTTTTAGCTAAAGTGGTTGTCTTTCATTTGCCATAGAATTAAAAACAATACTGTTCTATTAAATAGTACTATTGAATTCTTCCAAGCCTTCTTAGGTTTGCTCTCAAATGTCATTTACAGATTGGGCTAATGACCTAAAATCTGTACAAAGACTTTATGAAAAACTCTGCCTTAACAATACCTTACTCGTCCTGTGTTGGCAAACAGACTTGTGTTGCTTTTTATGTTAGCATTTATTTTAGAACCCTGAAAGAGAATTTGCTAATGATGACTTACTCTGGTTCAGTCACTTCAACATAGAAAATGTTTCTTTAGTGTTTTTCCTTTGTAGTGTTAACATTTTGAAATTCATGTTTCAGAGACATCATCATCACAGACTTTACTCTTATTCCATGAAAAAAACTTAATACCTTCAGAAGAATGTTTAAGTTGTAGACTATGAAATTTGGGAAATCCTCTTGAGATAAAAGGCTGCCAAATCCAGTATTATAAAGTCCATGGTCACATGTGCCTGAACATTAAAGGAATACCAGATCTATGTATGCAGTATACATTTTTCAGGCTAAAATTCAAGGGGAATCGTTCTGGCCATTCCTAATACAAGTGGAGACGGCTATTAAAAAGAGCATGAACATGAATCTTTTTTCTTTTTTACTTAGTAATTTAATTTGCTTGAAAACCACTCAGTAAAGCAGTTCACACCAAGTGTTTATCATATTATTTAAGTTTAGTTTGTTTTCTTTAAAATCACTGACTTTAAGTAGCTCATTTCTGAACAAAAATGTTTGTTTTGTGGAAAAATCAGTCACTGCCAGGATTCTTTCATTTCTGTGCTATTCTGTATAATTGAATTTGTTCACTTCTCTCACACCAGCAAGTATTTCATAGGTGCCTTGGATTAAAACAAAATTGATTTAAATTTTTAATGAAAGTCATTATGTTTAAGATGCCACTTTTAAAAAGAAAATGCAATTACTTAATGGTTAATGCTCTTATTTAATGTAGCTATTTGTGTTCTAATTGTTTGAATGTTTTATTCAGCTTGAAATTTTACCATGAAGTTGCAAACAATAAACAATATTTTGTTATATATTAAAGGGATATCAGTGTTTCTCATAGTATGGTCTGTGGACCATCTAGGTCATGGTGTACTTGTTAAGAATACAGATGCTGGGGCCCCATTTCAAACCACCTGAATCAAAACTCAGGGGTGGGGCTTCAGGATGTCAGTATTTAGCAGGCACCTCAGATGATTCCAAGCACACTAATGTTTGAAAACCACTAAGAGGGGAGTGAAAAAAGCATAGGTGTTTGCTTTGTTGCTTTAAAGCTGAGCTGAGAGCATAATATAATATTTTTATTATCGATGACATGAGCAAATGTGCACTGATTCTTTTATACTTAAACAATTTAGTTAATGTTTCTTTAACTAATACTCGTGGTTCATTAGCAACTACAGACTAAGTCCAGATCATTACCTACAGCTCTTAGTACTTTGGTAATGGCTTTCATACTTACAACATCATCTTCAGATCATGGTCAAGCCATGAAAACTGCTATCTTGAAGGCTCTCTGCTAAAGCTTTTTGCTTTCCTGATTTTGATTGTGGTGACATTTTATTGCAGACAATTGTACATTTTGATAACCTGGGGAAAACAGAAATTACTTGAATAAGGGATTGCCTCCCCACTGCTTTGCAGAGATGCAATCTTTGTAAAGAACATAAATAACACTTGTGAATATTAAGATGTGATTATCTTTCCATGTGCTTGTTGAAAGGAGATAGTGAACAAATGATTATATTGGGGATTTTTTTTATTTATAAGATCTAGTGTAAAATCAACACTTGCAACTTTTTAGATCTGTATGTTGCCTATTTAATATATTTCTTTTATGATATCACTTAAAGTTTAAAAGGATTTTCTATTCGCTGTCAATTTCAATTGGATAACATTTTGTCAAGTTTTTTTTCTGATTGTTACTTGACGCTAGCTGGAATTCAAGAAATGACATTGACCTTATTCAAATAAAGAAATATTTTAGTAAATTTGCTTTTTCTTTCATTGATCTTGGGTAATAAGTAGCTATTTATTTTCCATATAGGCCCTGGTTTGTGATAGAATTTCATTTCTCATATGCTACGCACTCTGCAACACATGGAAGCATAACAAGAGAACGTAGAAACAATAATGGACAAGTATTTATCCTTGCTGGTAATGAAAAATACAAATTAATTAAAACAGTGAACTTGATGTTTTTATATTTAATAACCAAATGCTGGCAAAAATGAAGTTAGCTAAACTAGAACTCTTATTCATTATTAATTTGTGGCCATTTTAAAAATCTTAATCTTTTTGGCAACTACCATTTAACCAAATAATTTCAATTCCGTGAGATAATGGGGTGTGTATAAAGAGAAAATGGTAGGGTTTTGAAAGTCATACAAATCTGGGTTTGAATCTTGACTGCCACTTACTAAAGGTGACCTTCAGTTTCCTTATTATACTTACCTCACATGGTAGCATTGTAAAACAGAGTCTTTACAAAGAGGTTTTGAAAAATGGTAGACTAAGTTGATAGACACAAAAATGCTGGATAAAATAACAGATTTAAATATATAGATGGGTCCAAAAGAAATCAGAGAGAACTTAAAACCTGATCAGAGAGCCTGCCAGGGCAGGGGTTGGCAGAAACTGGAGTATATATATAGGCCCTACACACTATTATTGGAAGTTACATTCATTTGGGGCATTAAGGACATGGCTTTGGGCCTGGAAAACCTGGGAGGCTCAAGTTGAGGCAGTTGGATAAAGCTAGGATCCTGGAAAAGCTGCTCCTTCAGGGAAAATGGGCTAAAAGGACCTCTTACCCATACCCCAGCAACTCAGAGAAGGCATAAGAAAGCTTTTTTTCCTGGGGCTCTGGGCTGGGGGACAAAATTTCCTGTAAGAAATTGAAGCCCCATGTTTATGCTTTACCTGCGTAGTGTGGAATTCTTCAAGTCAAAAACAATGTATAAATTGGTTTGGGTGTGGTAAAATTTAGGAGAAGGCGAAACAAAACCACTTTTAGCAATAATGTCACAACCAAAGTACGTTAGACAACCACAGAATAGCCAGTACTACCTGAAGTGGACTCTAAAAATTACAAATCAAATAAGAAAAACATGAAAAAGTGACAGTAGACAAGTGAATAGGAAACTTGGCACCTCCAGGAATCTGGGATAATAGAACAGTCTGAGAAAAACAACAAATAGGTACACTTAAAATGACTTTTAAAAGACTGAAGAATTTATAAAAGAACAGAAATCACAAGGAAGGAATAGAACACTGAAAAATAGAACAGTTGGAATTTTGAAGAAACACCCCAAACAACTTAAATATAGGAGGAAAGGATTAAATTTGGATACCTGATTGAACACGGCTGAAAATAATTATTGAATTAGTGTGATGCCTTAAGTTTTGTGCTTTTTGCTCAGGATTGCTTTGGTATTTGGGATCTTTTGTGGTAGGATTGTCTTTTCTGTCTCTGTGAAGAATGTCATTGGTATTTGGATGGGAACTGCATTGAATCTGTAGATTGCTTTGGGGAGTATGGTCATTTTGACAGTATTCTTCCAAGTTAACATTAATTCTTCCAAATTAACATTGTGAAAATGTCCATACTCCCCAAAGTGATCTACAGATTCAGTGCAGTCACCATCCAAATACCAATGACATTCTTCACAGAAATAGAAAAACATCCTAATATTCATATGGAACAACAAAAGATGCCGAATAGCCAAAGCAATCCCAAGTAAAAGAAATAAAGCTGGAAGTATAATGCTACCTGACTTCAAACTATACTACAAAGCTATAGTAACCAAAGCAGCTTAGTACTGGCATAAAAACAGACACTCAGACCAATGGAATAGAATAGAGAACCCAGAAATCAGCCCACAAACTTACAGCCAGCTGATCTTTGACAAAGGTGCCAAGAACATACACTGGGGAAAAGATAGCCTCTTATATTAACGGTGTTAAGAAAACTGGATATCCATTTACAGAACAATGAAACTAGCCCCCTATCTCTTACCATTTACTAAGATCAACTCAAAATGGACTGAAGACTTAAATTTAAGACCTTAAACTATAGAACTACTAGAAGAAAACAGGGGAAACACTTCAAGACATTGATCTGGGCAAAAATTTTATGGAGAAAATTTCTAAAGCACAGATTTCTCAAAAGAAGACCTACAAATAGCCAACAGGTATATAAAAAAATGCTAAACATCACTAACCATCAAGAAAATGCAAATCAAAACCACAATCATATCATCTTACCCCAGTTAGAATGGCTATTATCAAAAAGAAAAAATAAATGCTGGTGAGGATGCTGAGAAAGAACTCTTAAACTGTTGGTGGGAATGTAAATTAGTACAGACATTATGGAAAACAGTATAGAGGTTTCTCATAAAACTAAAAATAGAACTACCATATGGTCCTGCAGTCCTGCTTCTGGGTATTTATGCAAAGGAAAGGAAATTAGCATACTGAAGAGAGAGATGCACCCACATGTTTACTGCAGCACTATTCACAACAGCCAAGATAAGGAATCAACCTAGGTGTTCACTGACAGATGAATGGGTAAAGCAAATGTGGTATATATACATAGTGGAATACTACTCAGCCATGAAAAAGAATGAAATCCTGTCATTTGCAGCAGTGTGTAGAAGACATTGTTAAGGGAAATAAGTCATGCACAGGAAGATAAATACTGCATGTTCTCACTCACATGGGAGCTACAAAAATAAGTTGGACTTTTAGAAGTAGAGAGTGAAATTGTGGTTACTAGAGGCTGGGAAAGAGGGAGGAGGGGATAGGGAGAGGTTGGTTAATGGACACAAAATTACAGCTAGATAGGAAAAATAAGTTCTAATGATGTACAGTAGTGCTAGGCATCTATAATTAACAATAATTTATTGTATGTTCTCAAATGGCTAGAAGAAAGGAGACCAAATATTCTCATTGCAAAGAAATAATAAAGTTTTATAATGATGAATATACTAATTACCCTGATTTGGTCATCACACGTTATATACTTGTATTGAAATATAACTCTGTACTCCATAAATATGAACAATCAACACATTTCAATTAAAAAAATAAATTCCTTTAAAAAAATAAATTTTAAAAAGGAATAATAAAAGAATTATTGAATTGATAGATCTGAGAAAGTTACCAAGAATGTAGCACAGAGATTAAAATGGTAGAAAATGCAATAAATTGGCAATTAATAAGTAGAATCACACATCTAGCAGGACTTCTAGATGAACAGGGAGACTCAGGAAGTGTTCAAAGTTACAATAGCTGAAAATTTTCCAGAGTTTACACACAGATACTCATATTTGAAGAATCCTGAGTCTAAGGGTAGATGGGGGTGGCGTGCGCAGATAATATTTTACAGAAGATGTTATCTGAACCATGTTTTAAAGTATGTGTAGGCATTGATTAGCTGTGCAAATAAGGGGGGCTGGCAGAGAACTTATTCCAGGCAGACAAAGTAACACAAACGGAAGCATGTCTTACAACTTTTGCTGGGGAAGAAGGGGAAGATGATAGTTGGACTGGATATACAGAGGCCGGATCCCAAGGCTCTGTAGCCTGTATTAAGGAGCTTGGACTTCACAGGGCAGTGGGAGGCCATGAAAGTTTTAAGCAGGGGGAACATCTGCATTTCAAACATCACAAATCTCTGACTGCTTCATGGAGAATGGATGGAAGGAAGAAGACTTGAGACAGAGACCAGTTACAGTGCTCCCAGTGGAAAATGATGGCCTGAAGGAAGGTCAAGACAGTGAAAACAGAAAAAGAAAATTTATGAAAGTAGTAGGGGTAAAACTAACAGCATTGTCTTAGTCCATTTGAGCTGCTAAAACAAAATACCATAGATGAGGTGATTTGTAAACAACAGGAATTTATTTCTCACAGTTCTGGAAGTCTGGGAAATTCAAGATCAAGGCACTGGCGGGTTTGGTGTCTGATGAGGGCCTAAAATGATCACTTTGAGAGAAAAAAGTTTGAAATATGTGGTACTGAAGAGGATCTTAAGTCCTGTAGTTCAATGTAAATTTTACTGTTGTGATCGGAATAGCTCTTTGCACAGTATATAACCTTGGGTTTGCATTTACAAAAATATTAACCAATCCTATAGAAATGAAAAGAACCATGCTATCTGGGCTGGCGTGTAATAGAGTTCATTAAATATGTATGAGATGTCTATGATGTACAAGACACTCTATTAGGTAAAGCAAGAGCCACTAAAATTTCTCCAGCAGGTAATTATTATAATTAGGACCATATATTTAGTTTGCTTTGTGGTTTCCATAATGGCCCTTCCATTTCCCAAGATTTTTTTCTCATTGTACATTACCTCTTTTCCCAGTCAGAATGGAGATGGACAGTCCATCCCAGTGAATCTCATCTTTTTTTTTTTTTTTTTTGTCTTTTGTCTTTTTCCGTGTCAGGCAACGGATCGCAACCCTCAGTGTTGCCCCCGTACCGGACCGGGGACCGGCAACGGGATTGCAACCCTCGGTGTTGCTCCCGCGCCTCGCTCAGCCAGTGAGCGGGAACCGGTCTGTATGTGGGATCCGAACCCTCAGGCAGGAGCGCCGCCGCGCTTCCCAAGCGGCGCACCATCCAGTGCGCCACCGCGCCGGCCCCTGAATCTCATCTTTAAGTCATCTCTACACAGCATCTGGTGACCTTCTTTGCCTGCCCATTCTGCTGATCTTCACGAGCACTGAGATTTAACTGCATAGCTACCCCCAAAACGCTGTTGTGCACACAAAGAAGATATAACAACTAAGACAGGACAACTTAATAGCCATGATTTCCTTGGGAAAGGTCAAAAAACAAATGATACCACTAACCAACTTAATTGCAGGAGCAAAATTAAGCATTTAATGTGAAAAAGAAAAATCCCAGAAGAAGGGCCTAAATGGATTTCTGCTGTTTAAATGTGATATTCTTCTAAAATGTAGTTCCACTAATGGGATTATTGCTTCTGTAGTAAATTATTTGGGTCAGATGCCATCAAACTTCTCAAGCTGAGTTGGTCACAACCAATCAGTGTTTATGAAGGTGATCCATTAAATAAGGATGAAACATGATTTTTAAAAACCATAGCAAGTAGTCTTGTTCCTGGGAACTAGTAAACAAAGCAGCAACCACTGTGGCTTTCACTTGTAAAGCACTGAGATTATACTCCTGCCTGAAAATAAGCCTCCAAGTGCCCCTCCTATCCCGGGTGGTATCTTGTTTACATCCATTAAAGATGAATGGCTTAAACTAAGCCGTTAGGGGCTGGCCAGTTAGCTCAGTTTTTTAGAGCATGGTGCTGATAATACCAAGGTCCAGGGTTCAATCCCTGTACTGGCCAGCCACACACACACACAAAAAAAAGCCATCAGACCTAGTGGCAATAATTTTTTTTTTCAAGATTCTTATCAACCACTTACTATGTGTCAAGCAAGATTCTCAGCGATGAGGATACAAAGGTGAACACTAGCCTCTCTCACGGAGCTTACGTTCTAATGGAATAGATGGAAAGCAAACAACTAAACCAATGAAAATATAATTTCAGATAGAGTTAAATCCTATGAAGAAAAACAGAGTAGGATAGAGGGGTGGAGAGTGTGGGATGGTGGAGCCAGGGTATTTTAGGATGACCAGAGAAGTCCCCTCTAAAAAGGTGAACTGGAACAGAGGCCTGAATTAAGTGAGGGGGAGCTATGTGAAGATGTGGGAGAAGAGTGATCCAGGCCAGGAGGTTCCACGAGGACAAAGGTGAGAACGAGCATGTTTAAGGGATGAAAAGGACATCAGTGTGATTAAAGCAGAATGAGCAAAGGGAACGTGGTAGATGAGGTTGGCAGGTTAGCAAGGGCCAAATCACGTAAGGCCTTGCAGGCCACAGTAAGGAGTAGGGATTTTATTCAGGGTAGGGAGCCATTGGAGGGGTGACATCTAGTGGTTCCATTTCATGAATCCTGGGGTGTTTATTTCCCCTTTCTCAAGGAATAAGAGAGTCTACATTTCTACAAGATTCTACACACAGCGAGAAATAGTTACTGGATATCTGAGTGGAAAGGCCATTGTAATAAATTGAGGAGTACAAGGTTTTTTAAGACATGACCCCATCCTCAATGGAATTATCTGTTGGGGAGAAAATGAGCAATTTGATTTCAGAAAACAAAGCAATATCAGGAGTATTCAGTTGCCACACCAGTGAAGCTACCACCTAAGAGTCTCTATAATGCTTGGCACGCCTCTTCCTCTCCCCACCCCCACCCACACATGCACATACAGAAAAGAACTGGACAGGGAGAAACTGTTTTACAAACTGGCTTTCGAGTTTAGGATTGACACCCTCACCACTAATAATATATCCTAATTCCTAATGTAATTTTTATAATAGAATCCATCTAAATGATAATTGCTTAAAATAAAATGGATTTGTGTTTTATTTTGGTTTTTTTATCCATCAAATCCAATTGACTGTAGGTATAATTTTGGGGGTTTCACTTTCTGATCAAAACTACTATGTAGGACAGAAATTCAGCAATTTGTCCTTCGAGAAATAAAAGAGTTTTTTAATGTCATGAGACACCTGTCCAGTGTTTTTCTAAAGGAGAATTTCTGTGTGCTGAACTGGAAAATAATAGACAAACACAAGGCTATGGTTTTCATTTTATGGTCTAAAAAGTCCTATGAGACCATATCAATTAGTAACACTTCTCAACAGAGATGAAATATAGGTTATTATAAATGGCAATTTAGAGATAATGGTTTGACTGTGTTAAGTTCCAAGCAACTCATCTAAAAGGGAAGGGGAGCTAAGTGTTAATGTATGTTCTCAATCAGACAGCAACAAGTAAAGTTTATATTTCACCCTAAATCATCTTTTGTTAGTCTTTCGTATTGAGACCATTTTAGCAGCATTTTAAAATACATGAGTAAAAGGGAAAGCAGATCTTAAAATATATAAAGCAATCATTTTAGGCAAAAATCCAGATTATAAAATTCTATGCAATCTGAGGGATAGTCATCTATTTTCTGAGAGGGTTCAAGCCTTTTGATAAAATAATAAGCATAGGTTACATCTCTTTCCTCCCATGCACCCCCACCCCCCCGCCTTGGAGTGCTTTAATTAAAAAGATACCAGTATAGATTAAAGTCAATTCTATCACTCAGTTCTTGCCCTGAAGACAACCACAGCCGTAGAGAATCTGCTGTAATACAAACCATGGTCAAAGTTTTATCCAAATGCACCAGTGAGCTTCAAAAGAGCACCCAGGAGGTGGACTGTATATAAGAGAAAAAAGTGACACATTACCTATTGATGGCTTGACTCATATGTTCTTACCTTCTGGATCAGAGCCCAGAAGTATTAAGCGCATAATTTCCATGCAGTAGAGTAGCATTTCCTTGCAGGAGAAAGCTAAGATGATCTTCCAGACGTAAACTGAGGACCCACTGGCTCGCCCTAGACTTGCCTTGGTTGTGTATTTATATGTGATACATGGTAACTACAGAAGCAGTACAAAATTCAAGCAAACCAAAAAGCAAATCCTTGCATAGTATTTAGAGCCCAATGAGGTAACATGATGGACCAAAATGATTATTTTTGCTTAATGAAGCATTCTGGGTTTTGAGTCTCATTGGATTCAGTATTCAACAGGATGTTGTACTCAAGAGCTGGAATTTGGAAATTCCACAACAGCTATATAATCAGTCAGCTCTAATTTAATTGAAACAGGACTCTTGATGAAGCCCTGCTGTGCCTATAATTAAAAATTTAGAAATGGGTAGGGAGAGAGGGGTAGAAAATATGAGAGGGTTTTTTTTCTTGTGAAATTAGCTGAGTATATTAATTCAGAAGGTAGTTGGTTGCATCTGATTGTATGCTTTAGTAATCTGAACCATCTGCCTCTATATACTAAGGAGTTCATCACTTTAATCCAGCTTACAGCTGACAAACCACTCTTTATCGTTATGCCCTTGAATAGATGAAGCTGTGCAGAGTCCTTTGCTCTTAATTGTCTTGCTGTCATTGAGAATATTTAGAGGTTTTACTTGGGTTTTATTGTTTGCTTTACCCCCCCCCCCCCCCCCCCCGTTTTTCCTGAGTTTTGGTTTTTTTTTTTTCTTTCCCCCCCCCCCCTCCAGTTTTGCCTGAGTTTTGGTTTTTTTTTTTTCTTTCCCCCCCCCCCCTCCAGTTTTGCCTGAGTTTTGGTTTTTTTTTTTTCTTTTCCCCCCCCCCCCTCCAGTTTTGCCTGAGTTTTGGTTTTATTTTTCTTTGGCAGAGACAATGGCTTTCCTTATGAAAAGTATGATAAGTAACCAGGTAAAAAATTTAGGACTTGGTGGTAGGTCTGAAGAAAAAAAAGAAGGAGGAGGTACCTCTGATCCTGCAGCAGCCCAAGGGATGACTAGAGAGGAATATGAGGAATATCAAAAGCAAATGATTGAGGAGAAGTGAGTACCTGTGACTTCATTTCCCTTTAAAAGCAGAAGAAATTCATTCTGGCCAGACCTTCTTCAGCTCCCCCGGGTGATTTCTCTTTGCTTGTTAAGATGCTTTTCCTTTTACTGTTTACCTCTAATCCAAGGAAAGTTTGTTCTGTTAAAGTGAACGATTCCCTAGCGTCAGCAGCGACTGTGCTCTACTTGTGTAAATGGAAATGAAAAATAATAAATGAACCTGTATGTTGGTTGTGAAGCAGCTTAACACTTTCTGGTGTAGGCATGTTTCAATTGATCTCAGTTTAATTGTTCAGATGAGAAATGTTGAGTCTATCTTTACAGTCTTTCTGAAATTCATCCTGGTAGCAAGTAGAAAGTTTTCAAATTGTAAGAATTCAGACTTTATATCTAGAAGAGGGCCTTAAAGAACATCTAGTGCCACCTCCTTGATTTTACGTGTGCGAAAAAAAGCTCAGACAGCACAACATGACAATGAGAAGACTTGGCTTATCAAAGACTATGAATAGATTTGTGGACTGTTTATTATGAAAATTCTAAGCATACAGAAAAGTTGAATAGCACAATGAATACCCATATATACCTACAACATAATGTCAACAGTTAACAATTTTCCATATTTGTTTATAGATTAAGTAGATAGATGATAGATAGATAATAATTTTTAAAGTAAATTATAGATTACTTAATACTTCACCCCTAAATCCTTCAGCTGTGTACCTCCAAAAATAAGGTCATTCTATATAAAATGTAATAAATTAAAATATGAAATATTAGCAACATTTTAGTTCAGTATTATGGAATGTGAATATTAGGAACAGTTTTTTCACTACTTGAAAACTGGCCCTTTAGTAAGTGTGATCTATGTGTAATTTTTAAAAGATTAAGGTAGAATTGATTTAAAAGTCTTTTAGTACTCAATTAAGAATTGAAGCATCAATCTTACATTCCATGTTTCAAAAAAAGGATTTCTTTTTGCCACCATGGCTATTTTGCTAATGATCAATTACATAATAGTTGCCTAAGTCCTACCACTAAGATGATTATAGGTGAAAAGGTTAACGACCTGGAGGAAACTAAGAAAGTACAAAGCCTACATTTAGTGGAAACCTTGTCTATTGTATTTTTCTGAAAGAACTGGTGGCTTATAAACTATCTAGAATGTATATTTTGCAGTAAATTGAAGTTGGTTTTTAAAAAAGTAAATTCAACTGCAAAAATGATGTTGGTGCTAAGGTAAGATTTGCCTATGGCATGTAAAAGAAAAAAGCTGTAAAAGAAAAACAAGTATAATGAAGAGATAGAAGTAGATTAATAGCACCAAACATTCTCAGCTCAAGTGCGCAAATAAAAAGAAAATGGTCGGAAAGTTAGACTATATACCTAACATGCAAAATATCATCTAATATGCCCAAGTAATAAATCTGGTTGCAGGTATGGCATCTGTTTGATTAACTAATGTCCTAGTTTTCCTTAATTTTATATCTGGACAGAGCAAAGCTCAAAATGGCCAAATGGTGTGGTCAGTTTTTTATGGTGTGCGTGAGAATATTATAAATGTATGTAATCACCCAATTTAAGGAACAGTAGCAGGACACGGGGCAGCCTGCTTTCCTATAGCAAGAGGGATGGCTCACAGTCCATGGCTTGAGTTTTCAAGAGCTTCGTCACCTAGAATGCAACATAAAGAAGTAGGCATCAAAAATGTTTCAGCACAAGTTAAATATAGAGAGAGCAATAGACAGTATAGCACATAAAATGATTAAAACAAATACCAGCAAATAAAAGCCTCTTAAACCTCCTGTCGTCATTTTAGAAAAATGGCAGGATTGACTTTATTCATTGTAGATGAAAAACTACCCAACAATGCACTCTCCTGCACACTCGTTTTTATTTTCCTTCTGTGTTCACAGTTTTGTTTTGTTTTTTTCACTACTGGTAACACTACTACTGAAAGAGGTCTATACCTAAATAGAATATTTGGAAGGGAAATAAAATGATAGTCTGTTTATCCCTCCATTTTTCTCAATTATATTAAAATACCCCTTTATCTTAGTTACAGTTCAACAGTTGCTACGGCACCATTTGTAACTTGACTTTAAACTTTGTTGTATTCACTAATAGTGTGGACCCTACAATGGGCCTGGCACTGTGAGAAATGTACTGAAATGAAAGACATGGTTTGTCTTCTACAGGAATTTCCACTCTACTTGGGGGAGACTAGCTACATCTGACTATAAATAGAGAAACCAGTTTTTCTGAGTGATTGTAGACTGGCTTTGGAGGACAGGAATCTCAGACTGTATGGCATTTAGATCAAAAAATGGATCAATGAAACGTATACAATTATTTGATTTTCAACAAAGGTGGCAAAATAATCAGGTGGGAAAAGGAAAGTCTTCTCAACAAATGGTGCTAAAGCAACTGAAAAACACTAAACTTTGACCGCCTACCTCACGCTATACACAGAAATTAATTTGATATGCATCCTACACCTAAACATAAAGCTAAAATTATACAGCTTTTACAAAAATATAGAATATTTTTGCAACTTGCAAGTAGATGAATGTTTCTTTATTATGACCCAGAAAGCAATAACCATAAAATTTTTAAATGATGAATTAGACTCTATCAAAATTAAAAACTTTTTGCATCAAAAGACATCATTAAGAAAATAAATAGGCAATCCACAGACTGAGAGAAAATATTTGCAAAATATATCTGGGGCTGGCCCGTGGCTCACTTGGTAGAGTGCGGTGCTGATAACACCAAGGCCACGGGTTTGGATCCCATATAGGGATGGCCGGTTGGCTCACTGGTTGAGCGTGGTGCTGACAACACCAAGACAAGGGTTGAGATCCCCTTACCGGTCATCTTTAAAAAAAAAAAAAAAAAGAAAATATTTGCAAAATATATCTGACAAAAGACTGGAATCTAGGATATATGAAGTACTCCTACCTACAACTAAATAGTAAAAGCAAAAAAAATGGCAAAAGAATTGAACAAATACTTCACAAAAATATGTACATGGTGAATAATACATGAAAAAAGCCGATTAATATCAGTAGTCATCATGGAAATGCAAAAAATAATAATAATAATAGAAAGCATAGTAAAGTGTCACTATGCACACACCAGAATGGCTAAAATTTAAAAGACTGATAATTCTAAGTGTTAGCCAAAATGTGAAACCACTAGAACTTTTGCTCCGGTTGAAGAGATGTAAGATTGTACAACCACTTTGGAAAAAGTTTCAACCTGTTCTTATAAAACTAAACATACTCAACTCAATTACCCTAGTAGTTGGAATTAACCATCAATTCCACACCTAGGTATTTACCTAGGAGAAATGAAAATATATGTACACAAAAAGACTTGTACAAGAAAGTTCACAGAAGCTTTATTCATCATAGCCCCCAAACGGGAACTAGTTCAGATGTTCACTAATAGGAGAGTAAATAATATTCATACACACAGGAAAATGCTACTCAGAGATGAAGAGAAAAAATAAATAAAACAAAAATAATAATAAAACAGCATTAATGAATCTCAAAAGTTTTTTATGCTGAGTAGAAGAAGCTTTACACAAAAGATGAAGTGTATGGTTCCATTTATATGAAATTCTAGAACAGGCAAAACCAAATGATGGTGGAAAAAGGACCTGGTGACAGGCATTGACTGGGAATGGGGATGAGGAAATTTTCTCAGGTGAAAATAATGTTTTCTATCTTAATATTGGTTTGGGTTACACAGGAGTGTGCTTTTTTTTTTTTTTTAATGGAGAATCATCAAATGGTACACTTAAGGTTTAGACATTGAATTATATGCAAATTTTGCTTCAAAAGAATAAAAAGAGGAACTGTAAACAAATACGTATTTCACTCTAGTTAAGAATGTGCATGTTGAAGTGTTTTGGGAGCAGTGTACTGATTTCTGCAACATTGAAAAGCATCAAGAAGTAAAATGAATAAATGAATGGATGGTTGAGAGGGATAGATATGTGATAAACCATATATATGGTGACATGCAAATTGTAGAATCTGGATGCTGGGTACACGGATTTCACTGTAAAATTCTTTCAACTTTTCTGTATGTTTGAAAGTATTCATAATAAAATATTGGGCGTGCAGGGGGAGGGAGATCTGCTTCCTGCCCATGCCACAGGTCACTAATCTCCCAGACAATTCACTTTATTCTATTTCTCTCTCCAAAACTAGAAGGTTGAAGCTCTCTCATTCCAATTGCAGACTTGACAGACTATGGACAGAAATGAGTTCAGAGAGCACCTGAGCCCAGGGCCCAGTGATCAATAGGTTAATCTGACTGTTTGCTTCAGATCCAGCCTTCCATAGAGTCAGCCTCCTATGTAATAGTTAAGATTATTTCAAAATTCAGAGTCAAGAAATAGAAACCAATTTTCACCCTGAAAATAAAAACAGCAGATTTATTTGAATGCCAATAATGCTTTATGCAGATGCTTCACCAAACCCATGAGCAGAAATCCCACCAGGCACTCTTTTCTACCTCTTGCTGTTGCTGCTGTCCCTGCACGGCTGCGTCGTCCTTTCTCAGAAGCCAGCCCCTCCATTACCCAGACTACAAGGCTGAGGGAAAAGGGCAGCCAAGGGCCTCATGTTCGTCTATTCATCTAAGTCATCTATTTCTTGACTCCAAATTTTGAAATAATCTTAACCATTACATAAAAGACCAATTTACTGCTTGTAGCCCTTCCAGTAAGAAGGGCTGGATCTGAAGCAAACCATTCAATTAAACTACTGATCTCTGAGCCCTGGGCTCTGGCACGTTCTGAACTCATTACAGCCACGCTTCAAGTCTCTGTCTTTCTCAGCCTCAATCCCAAATTCCCAGAAAAGAGATTTCATTTACCCAGCTTGGTCCAACCCAATTCAGCCAAAGGGCAGGGCCATGTGTATAAATTTAGCCACCAACAATGCACTTCTATGGGCAGCTGGGAAGGGTGGCAGTTATTGTGGGCTTCACAGACATCCCCGAATGTATCTGCTTTTGTCTGGATCATCATGAGCAAGGGAGTCCATTTCCAACCAGCATAATCATGAGTCCAGTGAGGTCATCTGCAGAGCAGGACCCTCGTCTGGTAAGATGGAAATCTACCCTACATTGTTTGAGGTTACCTCATTCCGAACAGGGAAGGGACACTGTGCCTAAATTGGGGTCTGGAGGGGGTGAAAATGAAGGGAAATTGTTTTACATTGTATCCCCAGATACCATGGGCTTCCACAGGACCCTCTGATCTTGGTTAATACCTTCAGAAAAATCCTTCAGGGGAGCTTGTTAACAATGTAGCTTCCCCTCCCCCACCCCCAGGAATTCTGATGCAGCAGAGCTGAAATCGCACCCAGTGTCTGGTTTCTCAGAGCAGCAGCTGGAACGTCCTGACCTCTCTATGTCCTTATGATCCTTTATTCTATTCTTTCACTTCTAGGATGGAAAGAGATGCCGCATTTACACACAAAAAGGCAGAGAGGGCGTGCCTCAGAGTTCATCTCAGAGAAAAGTACAGGCTCCCAAAGGTAAGACTCTGTGACCATAGTAAATGTCTAATCATTTCTTAATTAAGAAAAAACAGTTTTATCAGCAAAGGGTCACACTCATGATTACACGCACACATGCGTGCACGTGTGTGTGTATATTTATGTCTTAATGGAGGGGTTTGCTATTGTGAAAAGAGCATTGAACTAGGAGTTCAGAAGAATGAGATTATAGTCATTTAACCTCTATGGATGACACTTTAATGTAAATTTACCTAAAGGATGTAGAACTTCTCTATATAAATACACAATGGGGATGATAATCATACTGACATTTGCTGAGCTCTTTCTAGGTGTCAGGCACTGTGCTTTGCATGAGTTAATTCATTTAGGTTCTATTGTCACCTCCGTCTTGTAGCAGAGGACACAGAGGCATGGAGATAGTAAGTGTCCCCCTGCCATAGGCCAGGCAGCCAGGAAGGCCATCCCAGTGTCTTCACTTCTGTGATCTCCTGCCTCTGCCCATGGCTTGTTTTTGGAGATGATGTAGAAGTGATGGTCATCACCTAGCACCATCTCATCATTCCCAGCACTGGCTGAGAGGACTACTGCCTGTAGGCTCTGGTTGGGGGGGTGGTTGGTTTACTGGTGAGGGACAATGCGTTGGCATGTCATGGCACGTGGCTCAGATGTACTGTACCAGAACTCATATTCCCTGGTGACAGAGGTCCCAGCCCTTAGCTCCTCTGGCTCACTTCCTCTGTCTAATGGACTCCACCTTCCCCTTCTGGGTTGGGTGTTTAACTTTATATTCCAAAGATGCACCCTTTCTAAGAGAACATCTTCCATCTGGAGAAGCCAAAGGAAAAGATCCCTCCAAAGTGCGTATCCTCTCCCAAGAATGAGAGCCACCTCTGAGTCTAGGTGGTTTAAGCCCTCTGTAGATCCCTGGAAAAGCTGACTTCAGAAGCCACAAGCAGTAAACAAAGGAAGAGTCCACTGTTCGTGCAAGGTCACTGCTGAAATCACCAGAGAGTTGAGCAGTTCTGATCTATTGGAGAGGTTGAACGCTGAGATGCCCAAGGTTCTGCTCTCAATGAGGGGAGGACAGCTCACAATATAATTTAAAGTATTGTCATTTGTGACCAATGAGTTTGGAAAAGAATGACTTACTTTTACTACTTGACTCCTGTTCAGGTTTAATACTTTTTTCCACTGTTCCCATTTTGGAAGAGTGAAGCATTTCTAAACACTGTCCCTTCCACTTTCACTGTCTGGTCAATTTCCTGCAACTCGCTGGATGTCACTGGCTGTCTTTAGTAATGTGGCCTCCACTAGGCAGGAAGCCTAAGTTAGATTCATGCAATTGAACTGAAACCCCTGGCCTCCCTGCTTGGGTCCATCTGATTAAAGCACCACAAATCTTGTTTGTGATGAAGCAGAAATTTAACACACACACACACACACACACGAGCTAGGCATGCATCTTCCACAAAGGTTGAGCTTTTTAAGGATTTATTTTTGGCTACTGTTATCCTTCTGTGGGGTTCTAAGGAGAGCTGGATTTCAATTCTATCTCTGCCACTGTGACATGGTACAACTTCAGATGGATTTTTAAAATATCTGAGCCTCAGTTTCCTCATCTATAAAATTAGGTCAGTGATACCTAATTTCATTGGGTGTTTGTCTGAAATAACAGAATGTAAAGGACCTAGTACAGTGCCTGACAAGTGGTAAGAACTTAGTAGATGTACCTCTTATTATTGCTGTTATGATCTCTTTGCACAAAAGCCTTATTTCTTGATAATAACAATCAGGGGTCTTGAAGAGCTTGGGTAAGCACACTCATGTCTGTAATCAATGCAACAACTTGAGGTCCCTGAACCTCAAAAATCTGAGCATTTGATTTTTTTCTTCCCTCATGGTGAGTCGTGGTCTTGTTCACATCCAGATCCTCAGGGACAAATACCTTTAGGCTTAGCAGCAAGGATTAGATGCTCTTTGGAGAAAAAATAATTCCCAAATCTCTATGCCAAGCTATCCTTTGGGACAAGAGCCTTTCCAACAGACATAGGAAAGAAGTATAGAAATATGGAAATAGGAAAGAATTATAGCCATGAAATGTGCAAATTCAGATCCTCCCTGGAGAATGATTGTGACTATATCTGCATAACCTACTGTGCCCTAAAGCCAGCTGAGAAGAAAGGGGGGACACAAAGGAAGTTGACAAACTAACAGTGCAGCCCATATCCTTCATTGCACGACTTACCAATGCTCATACAACCCTTTCTCTATAGCTATTTCAAATGCATAATGCATTTGAGACCTCACCTGATATTTTCATGGACCCTGAAAGAGACCTTTGAGTTCATCTAATAATCCAGTGCCATACCTCATGGAACTGAGGAAACTACAGCCCAGGAGGGTTAAGTAGCTTTGCAGAAACCCACAGCTACTGAGTGATAGAACCAGGATTGGCTCTTAGGCCTCCCAACCATGAAAAAGAGCAACTTACAAAAGGATTTGAACATGGCTCCCTCTCTTCCCAAGGAGTCTGCTCTTTCTACTCAATATTCGAGCTGCCCCAAAAGTTTTAGGACACTTTCAAATTCCACACGACTTAAACTGCGCTGAGACATTTGGGACAACCCGTACTGCCTCACTATTTCAGGAAAGTGTCACTTCCCAGCAGCCGAGGGAGCATCCGTTTCCTTCTCCTGTGTAGTCGGTGGTTTGACCCGAGACCTGGAGTGGCTGCCTGAACTCCAAATACAATCTAAATAAATAGATGAGACTTTCACAGGAAAATATCCCGCACTTCATTCATTGCAGTTTACTTTCAGGTGGGGGCCTTTCTAGGGCGTGTTTATGGTTGCATTTTGTAAAAATGAACTCTAGCCACAATGTTTCAAGAACGTACCTATGGTGCGAAAAAATACTAAAAATACTAATAATACAACAGTCTGCTTTTTATAAAGCACATGGAAATTCTAATCCAGTCTAGCTCTCCGTAAAAACAGTACTTAAGAGAAACTAAACAATACAAAATGAACAAGATCATCTCCCACTTAGTCCAGTATCACCAGATGCGGGTAACTTTCCCAACCTCACCGCAGCACCGCGCTGCTCCAGCCCACCCTGGGAGCCTCCTCTGCCTCCCGTGCTGTCACCTGTCACTTGATACTTTCCCTCCCGCCCCCATCCCCGCCCACCGACGAGGTTCTGGGTGCAGCGGGCCTTCGATGGCCCAGGTGGCAAGAAAGAAGCTCTGGGGGACAAACAGCTTTCCCAGGCCAAGGGCGGCGCTCGCTCTCTGGGCAGAACGGCCACTCCTGTCCAAGCCTGATCCCGGCTAGCCCGGGGAGGGCACGGGACCCAAATCCACGACGCCGGGCGCCCCCTGGTGTTCGGAGGCGCCGCCAGCATCCGCGGGAGGACACACCGCGCCGCTGGGCAGAACCAGGGCGGGCCAGAAAGAAATCTCTACAGGTGATTTTTTTTAAAAAGAAGAAAAGAAGTCCATTCTTTTGATACTGAGGACCAGACCGCGCACTTTAGAGCTTCCCATGGTATACCGGGAGAGAGAGCTAGAAAACCCCAGGGTTTTAGCTGTCTCCGCAGTAACCAGGTGAGTGAGACATTTTAAAATGACAGTTATTGAGGATGAGTTGAAGGAATTGAAATTTTCAGCCTCGAGAGGAGAGGACTGGGGAAACGAAGAATATGAGGGCATAATCGTTTCCTAGAGTGGCTCCTGCTGCTGGTCGTCACTGAACTGTAGGTAACTCTCAGGTCCTTTGGTTGTGTGGAGGAGCCCTTCACAATGGAACCCTTAGAATGCCATCAGGAAACCACAGTGGGTTTTGCCTCCTAGATGTTCCATTAAGGAGTAAGGAAGCCCTGGAGGTCCGGGTAGTGCCACCGCGGTAGTGCCCACCCGCTGGGACTGAGCAAGCCCAGAGCATGGCAGTGTCCAGCGAGCTGCAGGGAAAGAGACGAGAGGCCGGCGGGCGGTGAGGCTGGCCCAGGTCTGGACCAGAAAGCAACTGCTGGGTTGGAAACGGGCAGCAGGTTCCCTAGTGGTGACATGGGTCCCCTCCATGAGGCTTGACATCAGGGGTCATCTGAGGAACATGCCATCTGCCCCTTCCCCCAACTCTCTGAATTCTCTTCCTAGAGCAGGTTTGAGTTCCTGGACAACCACAATACTTTGGCTTCTTGACACCAGTGTCTGAGTGGTGTTTCTCTTTCTGTTAGACTTATTTTTCACATTCAGAAAAGCACACACCATAGGTGTACACTCAAGGCATAATCATAAAACTTGTGTAAGTTTAGGGACTTGTTGAAGGTCACAAAGCTTACTGTGACAAACGGGGACTTATTCTGCATACAATACTGTCTCATGTCCTGTCCTCCCTGCACCCCGTCTAAACTGTGTATCTTGTCCATGATGACAGACTTTAGAACTGAACATGATGCTGTCTAGCAAAGAAAATGGCACTGGGCAAAAAGCAAGGGTCACCAGGACCTTAGTGGGCTCCTAATAACCTTCCTCTCCCTGCAAGGTTCGCAGAATACATAGCCAGGTGCCATCTTAGAAAATACATATTGGACAAGCAGTTGTGGTCATGGTATTAACAGTCCACAGGGAACTGGACAAATTCAACACGTCCTACGGCTAACAAGGGATGACCCCCTGGGTACCTCATTCACAATTCCCCAGGGTCACCACCCCAGTGGTTACGTAACAGCAGGGGTCAGTTCTGGACCCTTCCCCTTACCATGGCACAATGGGGAGCAGATTGGAGAAAATGTCTTCCCGAGAGCTGTCAGGTCTAATGAGGATAACTATGTCACATTTTGGAATTAGAACTGTGTTTTCTAAAGAAATTATTTGGCTGGTATTTCCTATGAAAAAGAATTTTACTCCATTGCTGACTGGGGAAAGCAAATGTGGACTCCTTGAAAAGGAGCAATGTAGGTCCTAGCCCTCTAGACAAACGGTAAAAAGGTCTCAAGTCCCAAGTTTATTGTTAATTGTT